TTTCAGAAAACAACCGGCATTCAGAATCAGTGTAATCTTTAATGGTATATAGAAAGCACTGACGTGTAAAAACATTGCCGGCAAACATTACCCTACCACTAAATATTTATTTCTTGTCCGGTTATAAGCTGAGCGGCGCGCTGAGTACGCGAAGAAAGAATTTGTTGTGCTTTAAGGTCGCGGCATATTATTGTGCATGTATAGTTTCCGGCACGTAGCGTTTCCAATCCAGCAATCGGTTTGGTGCGGTGAAGATATGGTCTCGGTTTTCACGACAAAAATTATGTGCAATTTACTCTTCTACTTAACGATGAAGACAGAAAAGCTGTAGTAACCAGAAGGTTGGAAGTACATCCAATGCTAAGAGAAAGGAAAAGGGAAGGTGAATATTGGACTTTATACAAATTAATTGATGACGATGGAAAATATTATGGATATTTTAGAATGAATAGGATTTAGTTTGAATACATTTTAAATTTAATTAGGGGAAGGACGTCGAAGATGACGCACCTCAGCAAAATACATTTTATTTAAGGGTAAAAAATATTTAAGCTAACTTTGAATGCTACGAGCCTGTAATTTGGACATTTCTATAACCAATTTCTAGGATTATTTTTAAATTCAATAAAAGGAACTATTGTTTATGCGGCTTTTTAAAAAACGCTTTTGCGCCATCTTACCTTCCACCGAGGGAAAGATGACGCACAGTGATGGTGAAGATGGCGCATGTAGGTATCTATATTAAAAGCGCAAGTGATATGAAAAGAAAATTTATTTTTTAATACTGAAAGTAAGAAAATGTAAACAAAGTTTTTTAACATATTAACAAAAGTCACAAATGTAGTTTTCGGGACTTTTGGCTCCACTGCATTCCTTATGCACCCATTGTCCACAACTTGTGCATCTGAACCATGTTTCCGTCTTTTTGCCGAAGTCTCCACATAATATGCAGATATCAGTTTCACCTCCCTCGTTGATTATGTCATCTAACTCATCGTCATTGCAAAGACCTTCTTCATCAAAATCGCTATCCTCCAAGATTTTTTTGTTTATTTTTTGTTTGATTATTTTTTGTACTTTGGCTTTCCCTTTATTTTTATTTAGTTTTAATCCTGCATCATTAACCAATACTTGTCTGGTTACTTTTTTCTTTCCTTCTTCCGACTTCGCCAGTTTTTCTTTTTTTATTCTCTTTTTCTTCTAAGAATTCTTTTAAAGGGGTGCTTGTTAGAATTTCAGA